ACTAGTACAAAAAAAGAAAGATGCCAACAATAATAATTTGGGGGCTGGGGATTTAGCTCAGTGGTTCCAGAGCCTGCCTCACAAGCACAAGGACCGGAGTTCGATCCCTGGTACCAAAAAAAAACAAGGCAAAACAATAATAGTTTGGGTGGCTTGCTGAGATCAGATAAGGAAATACAGGAAAGCTCTTGCATCTGAGCAGTGTCCCGGCTAGAATTCCTGTGAGTTGGGGTAAGTTCCTGGGTTCGTGTAAATTCGGGGTGGTGACCCGAGCGCTGATGCCTCCAGCTCCTTGGCTCCCTGTGCACATGCTGCAGGCTGATTCTCCCCGGATGTCCACCACCAACCCCTCCCTGTCCCCTCAGATTCGAGACCTGCAGCCAGAGCCCTGGGTTCCCCTCCGCTGTGCACCTCTCTACCCTGGCTCCCACTCTGCCCTCTGCCTGGAATGCCCTGCGTGTCCTTTGGCAGATCAGTCCTGCCCTTAAGCAAGGCCAGCAGTGCCTCCTCTGGACAGTTGCTCCTGACCGTCAGAGCCAAGGAACGGCTCTCCCCTTCCAGTCGCCCCAAAGGGAGGTGCTGATCAAAGGCTGGGTCACTCTCTCTGCTGTTATCCCCCAAGTGAGGCTCTGAGCACCTGGAGGAGAAGATGCCTGTCTATCTCAGCATGTCCCAAATTCCGTTCCTTCCGCACGTTCACAAATTCTCCATGTTTGTGTAGCACCCGGATCATACTTCACACTTTTCATGCAATCAACTCATTTTTCAAGAAATACGAGTATTTCAAAGAATCGGCGTCGTCTGCCGCGGCTGATGCCGGAAACGGTCACTGTGAAATCCTCACACTGAACACAACACTGCATTCAAGCCCAGCCGGCCAGCTCTTACTGCAGCAGTGGGGACACATTAACTACAAACAGACTTTCTCCCTGGCATAGTCAAGGCTGGAAGATCATTGAAGAGGGACTTGCGTGATCCCTGAGTCATGGTTATTTACTGCCTTGCCCGCTGACTTAAATATCACCTTCTCATGAGGCCTTTCCTGCCCCATCTCCTGATTCCCACTCCCTAATTTAGTTTCCACTGGACACACTACACATTACAGCTCCCTTGTCCTGTGTCTGTCACCCAGGCTAGAATGCGGGTTCAGGAGCAAGGATTTGTCCGAATGGCTCACAGAGAAATCCCAGTACTTCGAAGAGAGTCCCTGACCTCCAGGAAGCACTCGACAAACATCCACTAAATGAATCTATGGGTCTCCAGAGGCTTTGTCCTATCTTCAGTTAGCTTCGCAACAGACCTCACACTTGAGAGGTGGCTCAGTGAACAGTTGTTAAACAAGTGAGTGAAGGAGTTAGACATCGGTGGATTTTTCCGGTACCAAGAATTGAACTCAGGACCCTGAGCTTGCCAAGCAGGCTCAGGCCTGCTGAGCTGCATCCCCCAGCCTACCATCATGGATTTTTGCCCAGACAGGGAAGTGGCCGGTGTTTGCGACAGCCCTGACGTCCTCGTGTCTGTGTGTTCCTGACTCTGAATTCTTCCTGAAGCTTTTTCCAGGACTAAAAGACCTGAGTCTTTTACCAAGAAGAGGTGGAATTCTCAGGCCTCTGGGTCAGATTAAATAGTAGGGGGGTTACCAGGACAAGAGTCGGAGACCCCAAGAAGTTGTGGGGGAGCTCAGGGGGCTTAGGGAGCTCATTCTCGGGGACGCCCTTTCATGTCCTGCCCAGCGCCCTGGCACACTGCCGGGTGTGGGAATGCAGCCAGCCACATGGGCACGCTGCAGTCACCACGCCGGCCTAAGCGCATCAAGATGGGCAGCTGACGCCAGCCGCTCATAGCAGATCTGGAATGAATTGGGGGCTTGTTAAGATTGCCGACCTAAGTCTCTTCTCACAGGAAAAATATTTATTTCACTGAGCTCTGCGTTTTGGAAAGCTGCGCCCATAACAGTCTGCATTGATCTAGCAGAGTTTTGGCTGCTGCTGGGCTTTGTCTCCCTCCTGTCTGTCTGAGTGGGTTATGAGTGTGCATGTGTGTGTGTTTGCAGCACACACTCTCATGATGAAGCAATCAGACAGGAGACACAGCCAGAACACTCTGCTCTTCTTTAACCAGGAAATAATGGGCATGAAATGAGTTCGTGGAGAGGGGCACGAGCCCTGAATGTTTATCTTACAAGATGCTGGGTGAAAAGAGGCAACAGCTTCTCTCTTTCTCTTTTTGCCTAATAGTCCCCCCCCCCCGCCCTTCCCTAGTTTGGGGAAAAAGAAATGCAGGTGAGTATGAGGAAGGAAGTAAAAACCACGCCCACTCTTCCAAAAGACCATGGACCCATTTTCTGTTCCTTTTCTGCTCTTAAGAGCTGAAGGGTCTGGGTTTGAATCCCAGCTCTGCCACTTGCTTGGTGGCCCTGAGAATCATGTCACCACTTAGAACATCTTTTTCTCATCTGTAAAACAGGATAATAATAGTGTCTGCCTCTTTGGATTGTTGGGAGGAGTAAATGAGAGAAAGAATACATGTAGCTTAGTAGACTTTCAGCACATAGTAAATGCTCAATAAATGGCACTTATTTTTATAGGCTAAATATATACAGTTTTTCTACCACCTTGTTCACAAAATAGTGTGTACATTTTCCCATTTCATTATTCTCATAAGTTTTTAGTAGTTGTAAAATAACCCATTGTGGGGCTATTATTTTAACTATTCCCTATGGATAGTAATAGAGGTTGTATAAACGACCGTGGTAAATATTTCTAGACTCAAATGTTGGTCTACATTTGAGGTTCTGTCTTTAGGACAAATTCCCAGAAGTTAAATTATTGAGTCAAATGGTACGATGACTTACTTCCAAGAGCCTCGATTTGGCTTACTTAGAATTGCAAATTGTTTTCCAGAAAGACTGTCCATGAGACTACATCGTACCGTGTCCCAACCACACTGAAGACTGGCAAGGTAAGTGTCTCCTGACAGACGCATGGACAAACAACATGTAATCTATACATTTATATGCAGTGGAATATCATTCAGCCAGCTCTAAAAAGGCAGAAAATTTCCCACATGCTACAACATATAAAGCTTGAAAAAGTTGTTTTTTGGTTTAGGTTTTTGTTTTGGTGTTTGGTTTTTGTTTTTTGGTACCAGGGACCAAACTCGGGACCTTGAGCTTGTGAAGCAGACAGCGGAACCACTGAGCTAAATCCCCAGCTTTTTTGTTTTGTTTTTAATACAGGGCTCTTGTTATGTTGCCCTGGCTGGTCACCAACTCCTGGGCTCAAATGATCCTCCTGCCTCAGCTGCCTGAGAAACGAGGACTAGAGACGTGTTACCATGCCCACCAGACACTGTGGTAAGTGAATAAGCTGGTCACAAAAGGATAACTATTGCATGATTTCTCTTATAGGAGGTTCCTAGAGTAGTCAAATGCATAGATAAGCCAGGTAGACCTGGTGGTATGCAATCTATAATCCCAGCATTTGAAAGGCTGAGGCAGGAGAATCAACACAAATTCAAGGCCAGCCTGGACTACACAATGAGTCTAAGGCCAGATTGAACCTGTCTCAAATTAAGAAGTAATACAGAGGTGAGGATGTAGCTAGACCAATGCAAATGCCCTGAGTTTGATCCCCAGTACTAAAAAAAAGAGGAGATGGTTAAATGTATATTTAACCATGAAAACGGCCAGGGATTTAGCTCAGTGGTTCTGCCACCTGCCTCGCAAGCGTGAGGTCCCAAGTTCGATCTGCGGTACCAAAAAAACCAAAAATTTAACCATGAAAAATATATCAATCCAAGTTCGATCCCTGGTACCAAAAAAAAAATATATATATATATATATATATATATATTAATCCATCTTTGTTTTTTTTTTGGGTGCCAGAGATCGAACTCGGGTCCTTGTGCTTGCACAGCAGGCGTTGAAACCACTGAGCTAAATCCCCAGCCCTATATTAATCCATCTTTATAGCATCCTATGAGGTAGACGTTATTGCTACTCTGCCCTTTAAAACAACAGTGAAACAGGCTCAGAGAGGCTAATCTGTGAAGGAGACCACAAGCACACAAGTGGCAGAGACAGGTTTTGATGGCATGTCCACTCTTCCCGTCTATGTCACATCAAGAATTCTGGTGGCCTGGAGAGCCGGGGGTAAATTGAACCAAATTCAAGGAAGCAGACGAAGTTAGCATATGCACAGTGCCAAGCGGAACTCTTGGCCCTGAAGGCTCAGAGTTCAGTTCTAAATTTACTCTCTCTGACCTTCTTGTGGGTTCTAAATTTGGCCAAACAAGTTCTTCCAGCCCAATCAATGATGATGATGACGCAGGTACATTGTTTTGAGGATAAAACCTTTTTCCTGGTATGAAAGTAATAGAATAAAGTAGTTGTTTGGAGAAGCAGCTCTGCTGCTGCCTGTCAGCCACCTGAAAATGACCCTCACCTCCCATCTGATGCCAGAAAGGTGATTGGGACCCTTCCCTTGGGGCAGAGATTAAAACCACTTATTTCCTGAGCCCAGGTCTGAATGTCTCCTCCTGGAAGACCCAGAAACAAAACCTTGGGAATCTCTAGGGATAAAAATTCTAGCCAGAGTCAAACTTAAAATAGTCCCCAAATTACAATTTAGGAACAAAATAAGCCTCTTCGGGTGGTCTCCAAGCCAGGAGGAATTATAGGGTCTCGGGATTCATCAGCTGAGTCCCCACTTCTCTAGGCAGAGCGTGGGGCAACTGACCTGCCTGTGACCCCTTCTCAGACATCCTGTCTCCTCCATGTAGAGTGGGCCCATGGCCTCATGGTCTCACTACTGATGACCAAACGACCCTGGGAACTTGGCCCAGGAGAGCGCATCCACTTACCGCCCATAAAGGACGTTTGGCCCAGAGGATGAAATGATGTCAGCTTTCCTCCCTCAGGTACGTGAATCAAGAGACACAGAAGTGCTGAAAGGGCTGAAAGGTACAGTATTGGGAGTCAGGGTAGCCATTCCGGGGACACATGCACCAGATGTTCGTGGAAGAGGGGAAGGGGTGTGGCACTCTGAATCCCAGTGAAAGTGGCTGGATCAAGCTCCCCCCGAAACCCATACTACTCTTAGACTTTTCCTCTACATGAACCAAGTCTTTCTTCAAATTAATTTCGTTGGGTTTTTAATTGTTTTAATAACCAAAAGAAGCATCTGTATAACCTTGCCATGTATCTGTTTTTAATTGAAGTCATTAGAGTAGATTTATGATTCATGGAACCCAAACAAACCCCACCAAGGCAGGCGGAACCCCCCAGGGAGATTTGAGGCTTGAAGACAGTGTCCCAGCATGGCCCAAGTGAAAGTCCCCAGCCAGACAGGAAGCACTTGAAGAAGATGCAAGGAACACGGAACAAGGAACACGGAACACGCTGTCCTCACGCTGGCCCCACCCCAGCCTCAGTACTGCTGTTATCAGAATCCCCGAGGCCACTGTCCTTCTAAAGGTCCTGGACAAAGGGTGAAGCCAGGAGCTCCTGAGGCCCAAGGGCAGGTCAGGGGCCTGTCAGAGAAGGGGGAAACAGGTCCAGGGCAGAGTTATGTCTTCTTTTTCCCTGCGGCTCACACAGTACAGCTGTGGGCCACAGCATGTGTGACCAACAACAGGGACAAATGATGTTCACTCCACAGCTCCGGTTTCAGTGCCAAGAGCACTGCTGAGGGTAAACTGAGTCATGGAGGCAAAGGGGCTCAGCAGTAAGTGGTGGTGCAGGGATTTGAACCCAGGCCTGCTGGGCTCCCAGTGTGGCCCCTTTCCCCACACACCACAGTGACACTGGGCCACCAGACCCCCTCCTGCAGTGGCCATGTCTGACCTCGAATTCCACTTCCAGCTGTTTCTGCTATCAGCAGCCCTGAGAGCCGACTGCTGGGGAGGAAAAGGATCAGCCGCAAACCTGACCCTTCTGCCTCTTGCAGACCCACTGAGGCGTGGGTGTGTCCCCGGGAACCTGGGAGCGGCTGCTTCGATCATTAGGGCCAGAAGGAGCCCTCAGAAAGGAGGGGGAGGTAAGAAGAATTACAAGTACCTTTCCTGTGGACCAGGATGTAGCTCAGTAGAGTTCATGCTTACCATGTGCAAGGCCCTGGATTCCAACCCCAGCACCACAAAGACGAAAAAAAAAAGGTAAGTTTCTAAACGAAATCAACAGGCAATCAGGGCGTGAAACTGGGTGCTAAAGTGCCAGGCACCAGGCTGTGCTATAATTCCACATATGGCTCGAGCAGTGCTCAGAAGGAAGAGCAGGGTCAGGGAGGGGCCTGTCACGCCCAGGTCACCACTGGCTTTCAGTGCAGTTGGTGGGCTTGGGGGCCATAGTCACTCAGTCCCAGCCCTGGGGGAGGTGGCAAAGGTGGCAAGGCCACACACTTGTTTCTCTGCCTGATATGTGTGGTGCCCTCTGCTCACCCAGGGCCCGGCTCCTGGATGCCCCCAGTGCCCTATCCCTTGCTCCGTGCCATCTCTTGTGGGTCCACAGGGCTCAGCTATACAGACCCTGCCCAATGCAGATTCCCACCCTGGTCCCCCTGCTCCCTGCCTGTGTGGTTTGGGCAAAGTCAGCCTGCCTTTCTGAGCCTCAGTTTTGGGTTTGTATTAGGTCAGAGGTTTTCAGGCTGCAGCTGTGCAGGGGCCATGAGCGAAGCCAAGTTAGGACAGTTGTCTCCTGGTGCCATTCAGCCTCCAAAGCCCCCATCCCAAGTGCACCCTGGTCTGCTCTTTCTCTCATCCCAAAGTGCAGCCCGCTGAGCATGGCAGTGGCTGAGAACCAGAGTCAGCAGCGAGACTCCAGTTCCCCCAGCTTCCGGGTCAGCGTCTGTCCATGGGGAAAACCCCACATGCACTTCACGGGGCTCTCTGCGAAGATTAATTAGGGTAAGGCATGCAAAGCACTTGGCGTGAGAGGTACTAGGCGAGCTCGGTGTCAGCCCACAAAAATGATTCCTCGAGTTCCCTCACATTGCCACAGGCCCCAAGGCCTGGACATTTTCGGTGCCTTCCCACAGTCAAATACTCAGCTGTTTGTCTGGCACCTGTTTGTCTCTCTGTGGCTGGGGGAGGCTGAGCAGGAGGAGAGTGGCTATGTGGGGACGGGCTATTTACTCCCCTGACAAGACAACACTGAAGTCCCCCCAGGAGGGGTAGCAGCAGCTTTCTCTTTCATGATGAGGAAGAACACCCACTTAGGACACGTGACCAGGGTTGGCATGAAAGGTCAGGCACCGAGATGCCCCTGAGGTTCCTGTGATGGACAAAGGTTTGACTGGGAGGGTGAGGGTCCCGGTGCCTTGAGCCCGCGTCTCCTCACTCGGCTGCGCCTAGGATTGCACCCTCCTCGGCAGGAGCCAGGCAGAGCCACGCTCTCCGCTCCCTCTGAGCTCGAGTTTATTTCTGTTCCATGTGCAGCAGCCATCCCGAATGGAAATCTCTGTTGAGGAACGGGCCTCCTCCCAATCCTACAGGACAGGACGATGGCCAGGCATCTGCTGCTGAGCTCCTGAGACGTGGGGCAAATTGCTGGCTGGTTTTTATCTTCATGATCTCAGATCAGGAATTGCAGGGAGCCTTTGGCTCATGCTGCAATACCAACTGGTGGGGACTGGTTGCTTTTGCAGGGTTGGAGATGGAACCCCAGGCCTAATACATGCTAGGCAAGCACCTGCTATCCAACTACATCTCCAGCGCCTGGGTGCAGAGTTGACATGGACTCTGGGGCTGCATGGGAGAAGGTTGTTGTGATCGATTAGCGGTGCCTGCCTTGCGTTGAAGGAAGGGAGTGCTCTGTTGGTCTGAACTTACTTCTTTGAACAGCACCACAGGTTTCCTGTGGTGAACGACCCCACACCATTTTTCTGTGCACACAGGGGACAGGAAGTAGAACATGGCCCAATCCGACCACCCCTACAGAACAGTCACCATGAACAGCTCAGCCAAGGAAATCTCAACCCAGATCAAGGAAAATCAGCCAAAGAGCCCACTCCAGCCCATGCACCCCCCTGGAAGCAGCCATTCTGAAGACAAATCTAATCCTAGACTTCTAAATTTTGTAAGCAAGTAAAGTCTCTTTTTTGCTTAAACCAGTATGAATTGGGGTTTCGTAGCTTGTAACATCAAGGGTCCTAATCCAGTGATCTGCATCTCTTTCTCCCAGCTGGGCCTCAGAATCAAGACCAAGGGCAGGCTTGGCTTGTAAGATATCTAGGGCTTGCATTTGTTTTTCTTTAATTCAGATGAGGACTGGTATGCAGAGAAAGGACATGCATTTCTTCAAATGTAGCAAGACACATCAGGAAACCCCTCTTGAGAGGCTGGTCTTAGGGTCTTATGTGATAAGATGACCTCTGCTTTGAGGGGGAGTCAAAAAGCAAGCAACGTGTCTGAATATCCTCTCCAACCTCCCTCAAAAATGAAGTTTTTGTTCATGTTTTCCCCTTAGCTTCTGGAGACACGGAATCTGGCTTGACCAAATTTTTCTGTAAAGCATGGGCAGAGATCAATAAATAACCTTTGGAGAGTCATGAACTATCTGCTGGCAAAGTGAAAGTCCCTTCCACTCCCACCAGGCCCCTACTGGTGAGCAGACTGGAACCTCTACCCTTTCCCAGAGCCCGCTTCCGGGCTAGGCCTTGAATACCTCCCCGTGGTTTCTACAGTGAGTTCTTAACGTCCTCAGCTAACTGTGAGGGAGGCACAGGCCAGACAGCCACCCATTACCAGCTCTGGGAAATCTCAAGTCTGCCTCAAAGCTTTTTCTAGGGCAAATTCTCTCCCCTATTGAGACAGACCTGGGGACAAGCCCCAGCCTGCTCCATTCTTTTGTTGTTGTTGTTGTTACCCGTAACCGAACTCAGGACTTTGGGCTTACCAGGCGGGCACAGCACCACTGAGCTACAACTCCAGCACCTCCATTCTTGCTTTGTGGTCATGGACAAATCACTTCACCTCTCTGGGCTTCTGTTTTCCTTTCTGTGAAATGGGACTAAAATACTCCCCACCATGCAGGGCTGTTCTGAGAGCTCCGTGTCAGTGTCCATGGCGTCCTCCTTCAGACTGGCGTGGGCCCGGGCGGAGCAGAGAGCGGGGACACACTCAGGACTCTGAGTCATTCCACCTGGGGGCATCATGACCTGCTCCCCCGGCCGCCCTCAGCTGGAGACTCACCCTGTCAGCGCTGGAGAACTGTTCATTTCATCCAGTCAGAAGCGACAGATCTTTCTTTCCATGGCATAGGAGGGTAGACTGAGGCTGGGCCAGGTCCAGAGTCTGGTGATGGAGGTTCCTAGCCACCTGTAACCCGGTCTTCACCTCCGAGGCCGTCAGAGCAGAGAGGAGCACATTCCAAATGGGACTCAGGTACCTTTCCACCTCTGTCCTGGCTTCCACGGAACCACCTTGAGCCTGCCAGGGCCCTCCAGCCCTGCTGCCTTTCTGGGTGCCCCTGCAGCCAGGCAACCTGAGCTGCCCTCACTGGCATTGAAACCCACACTGGCTGAGACCTTCTCCTCCTCGATGTGTCTTGCACACAGCTCTCTACACACCCAGAAAGTGGTGTGCACACTCACACATATACACATGCACACACTGCACACCTGTGAATACACACGAGTGCAAACACGTACACCGTGCTCAGAGTACACCCTCCCTTCCCCATCAGCCACTCCACCTTTCCCTTTAGACCTCCTCAGCTCAGGACTACCTCTCCTGTCCCCAGGCTGTGTCAGGTCACTGTTGTTACACACTCCTCACTGCTGAGGTTTCTCCTCTAGCGTATTTCCCACAGCAGTGACTAATTCAGTGTGCGATCCCTTCCGTCACAGGTAACGTCTGAAACATGTTACTCTTTCTGCTCCTCCTTCTTCACCTTACTGGGTGTTCAGCCCTCTCCATCTGCCTGCAGAGGTTTTGCTTCTTACAGAAGGAATGAAGAGCGGGTGCGCGGTCACACCTAGTGCCTGGTAATCAACACAGCTGTGTCGTGAGACAGCAGACAGCCAACCCTGCTTCACAGAGACCCCGAGACCACCCTAGAGGCCAAGGCCCCGCTGCCAGGGTGGGGACAGCTGGGAGGGAGCAAGGGGTAACTGGAGAATAAGCATCACTTAAAGGCCAGAGTATTGGATCAGATTCAATTTACCGGGCCAGGGATTTAGCTCAGTAGTTCCGGCGCCAGCCTCGCAAGCGGAAGTTCCCAAGTTCGATCCCTGGTACCAAACAAAACAAAACAAAACAAACAAACAAACAAACAAAACAGATTCAATTTACCAGATCAGACTCAACCTGGTTTTCTCCCTTGTTATCTTCTGAAAGGGGTTTGTGAGAACTATCAGATCAGTTACAGGAAATAAAGGGAAGACATTTTCTCTGCATGCACAGGTGGTGGGTGAGTCAGTGCGCAGCCCAAGCACGTCATCAGCTCACACGCTCCACCAGGGCGGTGCCACCCTGTTCTGGGGGGCCCCAAGTCACTCATGTAGTAATACCCCTGGGATGAGTGACTACAGCCATGTGTGGCTACACTTGATCTTAGCCAAAAGGCTGAGAAGTGATTAGCCATGTGTGGCTGCAGACGGAGGACCAGTCGGTCTCTGGAATGGGGAGAGAGAACAAGGCTCCTTTCTCCGCTTCTGCAGGAGGATGGGCTTTGAGGTCAGATCCAGCCAAGTTCAAACCCAGGCTCTGCTCTTGGTGAGCAGCTTGTGGCATGGCCCATGAGCCGCCTCCTGGTGTGTGCGGGTGGGCACTTCTCATGGTGGAGTGGGGCAAGGGTGATGAGACATCCCCACCAAGATTAGGTTATAAGACACAGGAGTCTCTGTCTTTCACCCTGGGGCTTACTCACTGTGGCAATGCAAGCACCATGCTGGAGATTCCCTCGTGGTGGGGCACTGAGGGACCCCCAACCAACAGCCAGAGAGGAATGACCCAGAGCAACGAGTCCTGCCGCGACCCCTGAGAGTTCAGGAAGCAGATGACTCCCATCTCAGCTTCCCCTTGCCAGCAGCTCCCTGAGTGACCCCAAAGCAGAGGACCCAGGGGACCTGCACCTGGGCCCATGGCCCACAGAAACCAAGAGATAATATACATACGTTGTTGAACACCACTAAGTACGGGGCCACCGGGTGTGCAGCAAGTGACTACTAACAGTGCTTTATTAGCTCTGTGGCCCTGGACCAACTGTTTAACCTTTGTGCATCTCCCTTGTCTAACACTGGGCATACGAATAGCACCTGCCCGCCTTATGGGCTCATTGTGAAGTGCAAGAAAATGCATGAACAAATTGCCGGACAGATGAATGAATGAGAGACGCCCCTGGCTGGAGCAGTGAAATCACAGAATGAGGAAATGAGACCTGAGGGTGGTGCTGTAAAAAGTCCTTGCTGCGCAGCTGCCCCTAGGCCAATTGATCAGCTGTCCCCCTGGGAAGGTCCCTCACTAAGGCAAAGCCCCTCTGTCCGCACTTAACCTAGCCAAGTCCTCCTGGGGCTCAAAGAACCAGTGCCTATGTCCAGAGAAGCAGCAGAGGTCAGGGGCTGGGGACAGAGCCCCTGCCGAGTGGGTGTGACTGGGCACCCCACACCCTCTGCCCTCTTCCCATTTGCCCTGTCCCTGGATTCTCCCGTCCGTCCATCCATCTGTCCGTCTGTCCGTCCTTCATGGATTATGTTCCCCAGGGTGAGGGTGGGGCTGTTGTTGCCCAAAAGCTGTTGGGCCAAGGGACCCTGGGGACAAACAAACCAATACCGTCTGAGAGCCCAGAAACCAACCCTCGTGAGAGGGCCACAGTCTCACTGCCTGGCCACAGCGCCCTCCGAAGTCAGTCCTGGGGGCAATGGGGCAAAGGGAGGGGCAAGGCCTCAGCTCTCAAACTGGGGCAAATGCCAGCCTCTTAGTAGGGAGGACAGACGTTCAGCCCACGCACAGCTCATGGCACCTGAGGCCCTGACCAGTGAAGCTGAAGCCCTGACCAGTGTGACCTGTGGTCCCCAGGCCGGCCGAGCTCTCACTCCTGCGCTGAAGGCTGTCCTCGAACTGGATGCCCGTCCCATCCTCCTGCCCATCCTCCCTGGCATCCTGGCAGAAGGGCCCTTGTGGCCTTTGTCTGTCCTTCCCTCACTCCTGGACCCCCGATGTCCACAGTGTGGAGATGGGCTGCCGGCCCGAAGCAGCTCAGCCCAGCCCGCCATGGGCCTGCCCCACTCCAGTGGACCCCACGGCTGGACACATGGGCCCCCTAAGCTGAGTGACAAGCAGCAGCAGCAGTGGGCATGCCAAGAGTCTGGGTGGCGATGGTCTCCCAGCTGCCCTGAGAGTGGGCACTAGAAGGCTCCTGCCCACCACGCAGTGAGCAAGCCAAGTGACAGTGACATTTCGCCTCAGCTGCTCTGTGGACACCCTCTCCGCGGCCATTCATCACCGTGACGATGGGAACGGTTCTCGTGAACATCCAATGCTAACTGCCGAGTCCCATCAGCTCACCGACCCCCACACGTCCCTCTGAGGCAGGCCCTGGCACTGCCCTGTTTCACAGGAGGGCTGTCTCGGCCCTGCTGGTCAGTGAGGGAGGCAGGACGTGAGCCCAGGCAGGTTGTGAGCTTTGGGACCCTCCCCGCAGGCGCACACTGTGTCCTCAGGGGCCTTCATCCTCCCGCCAGCACACCTTGCTGACCGAGCAACTATTTCCTGGCCCCAAAGCCCCAGTGCTGGAAATTACAATCCTTTCTTCCTCTCTCCAAGATCTAATTGCAGACAGCCCAAGCAACTCGCTTCCACGTCTGCAAGGAGGGCCTGTTAGAATGTAAACTGTCGAGCATTGTCTGCAGCACGGTCGTTTGTCTCTGCCAAGCACATTCCAGCCCCGCCAGCCTCCCCCCTCTGCTCTGCTCGAGTCCAAGCGACAGCCAAATCCTCCAAGGGCCTTTTCCAGGCCGGGCCGGGGGTCAGGGCTCATTGACCCCACAGAAATGTGCTTTGCAAGCATTTAATAGCATTGTCTCGATGGCAAATAAATCACACCTTCCTGGACCATTTTTCAGTGTGTAGCCCCAAGTTAACACACCCACGTCGAATATGGGCAGCACATACTGGTAATCCCAGCACTTGGGAGACTGAAGCAAGAGGATGGCCAGCCTGGGCAAGCTAACAAGCCCCTGGCTCAACGAACAGACCCACAGGGATGCGTGGATGTCAGGGATGCTCGCTGACAGGTTCAGAGTCCAAGCTGGCTTGCGACCCACAGGACAGCCGGCCCTCGTGGGGCAGAGCACAATTCCACACAGGCCTCCACAAAGACACATTTATTGCCTGTCAGTGGAGATGTATCTGGAGAGGAGCACGGGCCAGGAAAGAACGTATCCTGTATGGAAAGTACCGCTAAGTCCCAGCTCCTGGAACAGGACTGGAAGGTCTCAAAATCTGGCCAGCTTTGGAGTAGTCAGACAGAAAAGAATCAGTCTTAAGCCCAGCACTGACTTGCTGTGCAACCTTGGATAAGTCAGTTCATCTTTCTGGTCCTCAGAGATAATCAGGGGACCGCACTTCCCAGGGTCCTAGGGAGCAGGAAACAGGAGAAGGAAGGAAAGGAGTTGGATGGTCCCCACCACCCTGCGCTATCTGAGTGCTTGCTCTACGGAGGGAGGCTTAGCAAGAGCGAGTACTTATTAGCTGGGGTGGTTGAATAATGTCTCCCCAAAACATGTCCATCCAGAGACTTATTTGGAAAACAGGGTCTTGGCAGATGGAATCCTTAAGAGGAAGTCATCCTGGATTGGGGAGGCCCTGAATCCAAGGACTGGCAGCCCCAGATGAGCATAGGGTGCACAGAGGATGGCCACATGGAGACTGAGTCAGTCTGGAGGTGGAGCTACAAGCCAAGCAGCAGTGGGATTCCTGGCTGGCCCCAGAAATGAGCAGGAGGCAAGAAAGGATTTTCCCTCCCGGTCCTCTGCAGCCCCTCATTTCAGGCTTTAGACTTGGGGAGGGGTGCTAATTTCTGTTGTTTTAAGCTACTTGCTTTGTGGAACTTTGTTACACATCATTAGAAAATGAATATGGGTGGTTTTTATGTCCTAGATTCTCTTGTAAAAGTATCATAAGTGTGAATTCACTTAAAT